CCGAATGTCGGCGAGACAAACCGACATCCTAAAAGAGGAAATTAGGCGGTTGCTTGAGTTAGGAGCCATAGGAGTCGGGCAATCTGATTATGCTTCGCCTATGATCTTAGTAGAGGTCCCAGGTAAAGATCCTCGTCCTTGTATAGACTACAGAAAATTAAATTCAAAAACTATGACCGAATTTTTCCCTCTTCCCAATATTGAAGAAGTGGTAGAAAACGTCAGCGCAACTCCATTTATCACAATCATGGATCTAACCAAAGGATACTTCCAGATACCACTCACAGAGCGTGCATGGAGGTATGCCGCATTTGTGACGCCTTTTGGATCTTTCATCCCGAAGAAAATGATGTGTTGGGGGCTTTTAAATGCGCCTTTCTATTTTGTAAATTGAAATTGATCGCTCAAGTTTTAGGAGGGCTGGCTGGACAATTTTGTTCTACCGTGTATTGACGACATCGCAGTCTTTTCGTTCGACTTGGGACAGGCATATGAAGGATTTGGATGTGGTTTTAGGTCGCCTTCAGGAGGCTAAAGTTGACTGTTAAGCCCTCGAAATGCAAATTCGCACAAGACCATGTGAAATTTCTGGGTCATGAAGTAGGGGTCTGGGAAAAGGATCGCCTAGTGAGGCCAAGATTCAAGCAATCAGAGATTTTCCGATCCCCACTACTAAAACACAGATACGTAGCTACCTTGGTACTGTGGGCTACTATGCAAGGTACATAAAAGACTACGCCAGTATTGCGGCACCTTTGACAGACGCTTTGAAGGGGAAAAACAAAAAAGAAAAAGTGATTTGGACAAAAGAGTGCGACGAGGCTTTCAATAAACTGAAGACCAAACTAGTAAAAAGTCCGGTTTTATTTGCACCAGTTATTCTAAAGAATTTATTGTGCAGACAGATGCCAGCTTATATGGTGCGGGTATTGTGTTGTCTCAAATTCAGGATGGGGGAGAAACACCCTATACTGTATCTTAGCAAAAGGTTTACTAAAGCGGGGCGAAATTATAGCACCATTGAAAGAGAAACTAGCGGCCATTATTTATGGACTGAAGAAACTAAGTCATTACTTAGACGGACAGAAAATTCAAGATCCAGACGGATCATAATCCGTTGACTTTTTTAAACAAAATGATGGGATCAAATTCTCGTTTGACTCGCTGGGCATTGTGTCTCCAACAGTACAACTTTGAAATTGTTCATAGGCCAGGCAAATTACACGGTAATGCAGATGGCTTGAGTCGTGCCCTAGTCTAGTGACTGAATATCACTAGTGGATACTAAGTAAGGTAAAAAGTAATGAAATGGGTGAAAATGATTTTTGTAGAGTTTTTGGAATTATATTTGTGTAGATTCAAAATTGTTTGCATTGTGTGTTTCATTTTCAAAAAAATTGTTAATTAAATGTTAATGAATTAATGAATTAAATGTTTTATCTTAAGTATTAGCATTGTGTAAAATTTGAGGAATATGCTTTGTATAAGGCACACATTAGGAGTAGTTTAAATTATTTTTGTTGTATTTGTGCGGTTATGTTATCTAAAAAATAAGTGCAGGGTAATGTAACTGGCTTCTCTATTATCACTTAAATGGTTACCACTTGTGTTTTGAAAGCAGTGAAATGTATTTAGAATTTTTCCTTCTATAGTCAAGAAAAATTTCTTTATGAGGCGAGGAGTTGTGATAAGGTCACATAAAAGAAGAAGAGACTGAAGATTAATATGGACAAGAATGTCTCGTGAGAATAAGCAGAAAATTATTATTTTTTTAACTTACAAACACGTTTTCAATAGTTGTTAAAATAGTCTTTATTAAAATAATTAAATCGTTGGCAATGTTAAAAACGCAAGCTCGAGAGCCACGAATTGCTCTCGCACGTAAAAAGGTATAGAATTTGATTTTTGAAATAGATAGGATTTTCTCTGCAGAATTGTATGTAGCCATTTTTTTAGCATTAAATAAATTTTATTATGCTGTGTTTTGTTTTCAACCTGATGTCACAACCCAGGGTTTGCATAGCGGTTTCGGCCACTACACCACATGGGATAAGTAAATAAAGCATCTAGCTTAGAAGCATCAGATTTCCTATCTGCGGTCATTTATGATGCAAAACCCTTGATTATCAAAAACGAGACGATTTACTTCATAATTGCGAGTTGCCGAGGAAACTTGTAAAAGAAAAATTATTGTTAATGCAAAAATATCACGCTTTCGGCTGATGAAAACAATCACACTATTGATTACAACCTAGTTATGGCTCTTCTTAGTATAACTGAAGGAGCTAATTCTCCTTTATCATCACATATGACGCAGTTACACCACAGGAGGAGTAGATTTTACTAAATTTTCCTAAAAGAGACAAGCCGCAAACATTACGGAATATCTTACAGTGGTCTTATAGAAAATATCTAACTGGAAATTTGAAATGCAGTGATGATGATGATGTCGTGTCTATGACAAAGTGCAATTATATAACTGTGAAGCTGTCAAAGGCAGCTTTTGCAACCTCGGCAGCTCTATCAGTATAAAGTAGGTCCACTGGGTCTTCAATGCCGATGTCAAACAGTCCGACCGGGATTGCTGGGCAGCTGAAGATGTGATGGCGAGACAAAGGGATGTCATCTGGGTAATGAGGAAAAATGTTGGTATAACTACGCTGTCCGTCTGCAGAAATCCTAATCCCTTTTAAGTGATTTGTCCTAAGTCTGGTTATGATAGTCGATATGGCTCTGTCACAGTTCAATTCCGGGATGGAGTTTCCTTTAACTTGACCGATTAGCTGGCAACTGCATTGGCATCGACGAGGGTTAGGCAGTTGGATGGCTGAGGAGAATCAGGGATGCCTTTGCAAGTTCATCGGCCTTCTCATTACCAAAAATATTTACATGAGCCGGTATCCATTGTAAGATGCAGGATCTTTGGGCAGCAATGATTTTGTTTGTGAGCTCAATGATCTGATGACTGAGTTGACATTTGCCCTTCTGGATCGCTTGCAATGCTGAAATGCAGTGATAAAATAGTACATAAAAAGTACGCTTATATGAAAATCCTTACACTGAACGCGATGAGTAACCTTAGTACCTGTAATGTTAGTTTTCAAGCCTTCTCAATTTTTTTCTTTTGTGCTTTCTGCACTTTAGAACGTAGTCTCCTTGTAGACGGTTCTACAAACACGTCTATAACTGCCTATTGAAGGCAAGAATATTTATTATTAGTCCAAAGAGGCCTTTTACCTGAGGGACTATTGTTTTCGTTTTGAGATTTTGCGTTGAATCACTCTGAATGTTCGTTTCACTTTTCAAACTGTTGCCACCAAATATGATCGCCGGTGTTATATTTGAAGAAATTAAGTAATGAAGAATCTGCATAAATGTATGTATGTTTCTCGCATTATGATAAAGCAACGGTACCTAGAGTTATCCAAATGTTTAAAAAAAACTCTCCTTTAGATGTAATTTAAAATCTGAAACCTTTCAGATTTTCTTTTCTTTTTTATTGTTATTTTTTTATTTCATCTGATTACTTTTGCTTTGCCTCTAAATAGTGCAATTGGGAAATTAGCTGCGGTTTTTATGCATATTTATAAGAAATTCTGACCCTTTGTTGAGTCTATTAGGCTTCTCAAGGCAGGGATGCTGAAAAAATCAGCCAGCTGTCGTCGGAATTCAAAATACCTCCCGACCGCTAGACGGACGCGCTTCCAGTTCATGCGGTAAGGAATCGGAAAATTCTTTACATTATTTCCCACTTAAAGAGCGATTCGTGAGAAGGAAAGAGAGTCGTCAAATCTAAATAGTGACAAATTATCGTCATCACATTTTTGTTCGGGCACCACTTGTATAGTCACTAGGTTAAATTCAAAGCAGGAAGCATAAAAAAATCAGTAATGCCCTCGTCGAGATTTGAGTTCCGGATCTCCCGTATGGCTAGCCGGATTTCTTTCAATTACATCATGCAGACACGCGGTAAAGAGAGGCGAAATACTTTACGCCTTTAGTGACCTGGATTTCATCATAACAAGACGAAGATTGCGAAAATAAATAGTAAAGTAAATAATTGTACAGGTCTATCAAGCAGATGTTAAGTAACAGGTGAACAGGTGTGCATGGGGCACCAGACACTTCACTGCAGAATCGAACAGGTATTGCCCCAATACACTAACTAGCTAGAATATGAAAAACTTGAACTGACTATATGCTATTTATAAGTGATACTGGAGTTATACATTGGAGTTGTTACATTTTAAACATAAGAGAGAAATAACATAAAATTACATGCAAAGTTATATACATACAAAGTTACATAAATAACACAAACTGTTTGGTATATTCATTAAATAAGTGACAAGAATATTCTTTTAAGTATTCTACAGTGGCGTAGCTAGGGGGGCAAGTGAGACATGTTCCCCCTAACGCAGCATTCAGGGGACGCCAAATTTATGTTATGTAATTTTAGAATGAAATGTTTTCCATTCTTGGCACACAGAAAGGGAACCCAAATCTTCAGGTCTCCCCGGGCGCTGAAAATCACAGCTACACCTCTAGTATTCTACATAAACACGTGACTTCAGAAAGGAAATTTACTACATAATTTTTTTAAAAATCAGCTTACTGTTTTTGCTCCATTTATGCTCAAAGAAAAAGCGAGGAAAATATTTTATCGTAAGATTTGTTTTGGCCAAAATATCTTTCAGAAAATCAAGCAAGCTAAATAATCTAATGCTCTGCAATTGTACACTCTGCGGCTCACCAGCGGCCGAGCGGTAAAGTCGCTGAACACTGGTAGTTCGGTCCGAGGTCCGAATCCCGCGAACGGGCTGGCTGCATGGGCGTTTTCGTGATTTTCCCCATGTGTAACTAGTATACGAGCCAGTTTCCCTTAGAAAGTCCTCCACGAAGGCATCCCTCCCCATAGGCAGATAGCTCTCGAGGCTTTGCCATAATCACACACACACACACTGTACACTCTGCACTTTTTTGCATTAGTTGGAGTACTGATGAAGGATGTTGCTCCAGTTGTAAGTAAAATTTGTTATAAAACTGAAACACTTGGAACTGGTAAAATTCAACTAAACATTAGGAAAGCCACAACACAAAATGTTCTTGGAAGTAAACTTGTAGAGCTATTAGGTATTAGTCGGAGAATGAAACCTGAAGATCTCGCTGGGATTAGAACTCTGGACTTTTCGAAGGCTAGCCGGATGCGCTCCCAATTACGTCATAAAGGCACACGGTAAGAAGAAAGAAAATACCTTACATTCTCCCTCACTTAAAAGAGAGACTCGGGAGGCGGGAAGCTAGACGCCAACCCTGATGGGGAAAAATTATCGTCAACCACATTTTATTTCGTGTGCCACTTGTAGAGCGGTTAAGTACCGGAGCAGGAATCGAACTTCGGACTTCGGGTGTCGGATTGTTTCGAAGGGCTTCTAATTACCCCACAAAGGCACACAGTAAGGACGAAGAAAATACCTTACATGCTCACGAATGAGAGCAATACAATTATTACAGTAAATACTTTTCTTAAATCTTGAAAACTGCACATGTATGTACTAAAACCGATGAATGACGTATGTAACTCATGCAGGAATAATGATGGGGCAAAATCTCTATGTGAACGTATAGCCTGTGTCAAGTGTGTTTATGTTGTAATGTTCCAACTTAGAATTTACAGCAATGTGCGTGGAACCTTGAGAACTGGTAAGCGAATAATCGCTTAGTTTAGAAAAATAGAAATGTAAACTCTCGAAGCCTTAATTACCCTTTATTGCTCAAAAAAAAGTTCACAGACGGTCCTCTCCCAGACGTACGTAAAAGCCTCCACTTGGGCTTTAACTCAAGAATACTAAGAAATAAAACTTAACTAATGCTTAACTAAAAAGATATAGGCGAAGTTATCAAAATTTTACAGGAGTTGGCCCCTTAAACGCTAACTAAACGGCGAAGCTATCAAGGACCTGAAATAAGGCCGAAAGTAGAAATAGCTTAGAGAGAGTGTAGCCAAAAGACGAACTCGCGCTGGTCAGAATCTCTGGCTCTCAAACGAAGTTAGTAAAACTTCGCCTTTAAATACTTGCTCTTCCTTCATTTGCATTGAACCGTTTTCTGAAAATACATTCTGGCAAGAAATTTGTAAGCTGAAATTAGAAGCGGCAGGAAAGTGGCTTTAACTAAAAATTAACTGTTAAAAACTTAGGATAAACCTTGCAGTGTTATTGCGTTTGAAGCCATGACACATCAACGTTCAATCTTCTTTGTCGCTTACAAATTTGCTGTTTATAATATCTTGACACACTCAACAAAAACTCAGCCAGTTTTTGTTTGGAGGCTTGTATGTAAAAATCCTTCTAGGAATTAATGAAACTAATATTAAGTGGCATTATTTGTAATGATAACTATTTTGTTGGTCTTAAACACCTGTAAATTGTACTGTTTAGGTTGCATGGCTCTTATGAAGCTTTAGAAGGAGGTCAAGCGATGGATGCATTGGTGGACCTAACCAGTGGTTTGTCAGAAAGATACGATTTGGAATCGGCTCCTTTGAACCTTTACCAGTTTCTTCTACAAGCGTCATCTGGAGGAGCTTTCATCACATGCTCACGCAAAGTAAGGTTTATGTTTTCAAGAGGATTCATTATTGCAGAAGAATTATTTTAAACGTGGGGGGTGCTAGTATACAGTGAATAATAAAATATGAAATTGTAATCATACAGGATGACTGTAGGGTGTCCATAAAGTTACATTAATATCTGTTTGCCTACTACCTATCTATCTATTATATTATTATAGGCCATGTATGAAAAACATGTATTCTATAGAATGTCCAGGCAACAAAATCCCGGCCTTTATTTTTGAAACCGTTGGACGTAGACACATACCTTCATATATAAAAATATTTTCATATTTTGGCACATTTAAATTTAAAGAAGTCAGTTTTCTATAAAATACGAAATATTTTTTTTCCTTCTCCCAGCCCCTATATTTAGGTTTAGGGAAAGTTTTGTACCCATTATAAAAAATAAAACACAAAATATATGACTCCTGTATGAAAATAATTGACCGGAATATTTGGTATTATTACGAATTTTGTATAATGTAACATGAAAAGCCTGAAAAACAGTGAAGCTGTGCGAGAAAAATACGATTACAGGGGCAAGTCTATTTACTATTAAGGTAAATGACTATCTCCCTAAAATGGCGAGATAACGCCAAGCTGGCGATGGATTTTGCAACTTAATTTGGCGACAAAATTAAGTCGCAAAATTGTGTAGTAGTGCGTGTGGCTCCTTCGTCGTAGTAGAAGTTCTGACCAGTAGTTTCGGTTAGGGAAAACGCCAGTTTTGCAGCACTGGTTTATGCTTCAAACAATTTACGTGGAATAATCATTGCGCATTACAAGCCATGATTCCTTTTCGGACTCTACACTTTTATTTTCCTACAGTTGTTGTTGTGTCTATGATAAAGCCTATTGAAATAGTGGCGAAGATGACAATTGGCAATCGAGATTAGGATCCGAACCCCCGGGCGGTTTACACAGACTAGTCGGGTATTGTCCGAATCCCACAACCGTCCAGAACAACGCCCTAAAACAGAAAGGTTTAATATTGTAGTACAAGGCATAAGAGATAAACATACATGATACATAATCATGCAACTGAATTGCTCAGTGCCATACATACGAGGAGATGAAGATGACCGCCCTGTTAATTTTCAAGATGTTGTCATCATAGAGATTCAGTTCCTTAAACAAGACCTCAGTTTTTAACAATGCAACAAGGATGGCCGGACAATAAAAAATGTTTGCATTTGTCAGTTCTGTGATCGAGCAGTTATCATAGTTCCTGTAGGTTTTCCTACCCTCTCTGTCAGTTTTCAATCCTCTTGTTATCCTGTTTTGATTCCTCTGTCAATTCTAAGTCTGATTATGGTTTTAGGCATAAGTCGATCTTCATTGATGTTATGTAGCTTATTGGAATTGAAAGACACTTCAATCTGAATTTCGCCCTAGCATTTGCTTCCGAGAGGGTGACATTTAGGTTATTATTATTGCTAAGATTTGGAGTCTCTTTTGCCAGTTTAACTACATTCTCGTTACCTGTGATTATGACTTGAGCTGGTAACCATTGAAGAAAGAACATCTCATTCAACTTTGGAATCTTATTTAGGCGAAAGTGGATCCCATTGGTGATCAGGTAGCTTCCATCCAGTATTGCTTGTAGGGGATTCATACACGTGAAATTCCTCCAACTATTGCAGAAGCTCGTAAGTGAATTTAGAAACGGTATACAGTATGGGATAGAATTTTTGCTGAACAAATTCAAAGTAGTATATTTCGTCACTTCCGAGCAAAGGCCGTAACGCAAATGGTAAATTCTCCATGCGGCGGTCGTAGGAAAGTCTCATGTCTTGCTACGTAACATTTAAAGTATTATAAGCAGGAAAGGTTTGTCTTTTAGTATTGCATAGAATGCCTAGGAAATCTGTGAACTATTATTAATCGTTTCATATTCTGATGTCCAACTTTCGATATTCTGTGTATAGTCTAGGCATTATACAGAATGTTTGCTTTCATATATTGACGGTAACATATATATATGTTACGGTGAAACACCGAAATCTGGAGAATGTCGACTTTCACCGGTGAATGTCAACATTCACATAGTCTCTTGGTGTATGTCCGAAATTTTTCCAAATACTCTTTTCGAACTTACACCGGTCCAATGTCGACATTCACCATGTACTAATGTGAATGTTGAACATATAACAATATTATATTTTTCTTCCCTAATCAGTCGCGGAAAACGCACTTGAGACTTGAAATAAGAACTTAAGAACAAAACCTAAAATACAATACATTCAAAAGAGAAAGGAAAATAATAGAAGTTTAAAAAACTTACTTAATTATACAGTACGTTCTAAATGAGAAAATAAAATAACAGTAATAAAAACTTACTAAATTATGTGATTCAAATTATTTATGCACAACTTAAAAACTATTATGGCAATTTATGACCTCTCTCTTCGACTTTCACCAGAGCATATCCGTGATTGTCGACATACACTAATGAGGGTCCGAATACACAAGAATATAGTGAAATATTCGGTCTTTCACCGACATATTTGGTGAATGTTGATATTCTCCGGTGAAAGTCGACATTCTCCAATTTTGGCCTTTCACGGTAACATATACACTTAACCAGGAAGCGCGAAAATTAATACTCTGTTAAAATTCTTAACAACTTTATGCTAACTATTGACAAATATATTTAAGTGTTAAATTTAAATAAACTATTTTATATACTGATAGAAATGATTTTTATACGAAAACTGCGCTATTTAATAAAATATCAGTCTAAATAGTGATTCAGAAATTATTCAAGTTTTAACTCACGTTAAAATGAAAACGTTATTCAAAAACTGTAGCATAAATAATGGGAAGATTTCCTAATGAATGTTTAAATTTTAAGAAAATATTTAAATCTGTGGCGAAATTTTCAATGATAGTAGTGTGAAACGGGGAGTTCAGCGACAGGAGGCGGTACGCGGTGCAAGCTCCCAGGCAGACTGCGAAGGCGGATTGCGGATGAGCCAGCACCCGGAGGCGCAGTAGATAAGGAGTGTGTCAAGATTCTTCATTTAACTGATAAGAATACGTCACACTTTGATAAGAGATTTCTTTTTATTGGATTTTTCGGAGGTTTGTTAATCCGTGTTTAGACTTTTATTTTCCTTTGTATTCCAGCTATTTACTAAGTATATGATGGTTAATTTCTAGGTACCTTTCACGACGATTATTTTCGAATTTAATGATTAATTCAGAAGGCCTTAATTTTAGATGTAAATTTTTAAGACTTCCTTATACCTGAATTTTACCTCATTTCCTAATCTTCTGATCATAATACCAGATTTACATTCCGTAAGCTTAATTACATTACTCATTTTTTAGTATTAATTTATTTTACCCAGAATTCCTTTTAATCAATACTTTTAACTTATCTGTTATACTTTACAAATGTAAATACTAAAACACACGTTTTTTATGTGTTATTTTATTCAATGTTAGATGCAATTTGCAACTTTTTTTTGCTCTTTTTAAAGTTAGCGATCTTCAAAATACTCTGTATTTTAACTTATTTCATGCATTTTGATCATACGTTTACTATGAACATGATCTTTACTTAATTTTTAACTACTTTCATACGTTTTAACCTTCGTAATTTCAAACAGGCTCTTAATTTTAGCTTAATTCCTCCATTTTCTGACCATATATATGAGCTTTATTTAAATTTAGATGTAAATTTTAATTTCTTTTCTACTTTTGAATGTTTTTAGTTTCCAACATACTATGAATTTTAACCTAATTTATTTATTTTCACACTATGTACATGACTTTCATTTAATTTTTAACTACTTTCTTACGTCTTAACCTTCGTCATTTCAAACATATCCTTAATTTTAGCTTAATTTCTCTATTTTCTTACCACACATATGAACTTTATTTAATTTTAGATGATATTTTTAACGTGTTTCATACATTTTAAACCTTCGTAATTTTTAAAGTACTCTAATTTTGAACTTGTTTATTGCATCTTCCTACCATATACATTCCTACCATATCCTACCTTTAATTAATTTTAGATGTATTTTTTATACATTTCTGACACTTGTTTCTTTCTAGTTTCCAAAATACTCTAAATTTTAACTCTTTTTTATAATTTTCGATTGTAATCACGCTTTTGATTTTACTATTTCAGCTAAATGTACACGTTTAAACGTCTTAAATATAGAGACAGTTTACAATTAAGCATTTTATTTTAGAACCTTTAACTGTTATTCCAACCCAATTCGTTGAATAGCCTTACTTAGTCCATATTTGATAGTACTGTTTTAATTTGCCTGCTGTACAATTTATCCTCCTGTAGTAGTTTTACCATGAATAATGCTGCTATTTTATTTCATTATTAACTTCATTTGAATTTTCAGATTTTAACATTTCCTGCGTATTCTGGTAGTTCGTTACTTTATATTTGAACGCATGTTCTTTAACTCTTTAATGTTACCATTGTTTAGTTTTGAGTACCAATTATCTTTAAGCTAGCTTGATAGTTACCGAAATTTTGCAATGCAGTGCCAAATTTCATGTCCTCATCCAGAAGTCTTTCCCAATATTTTTATCATGTAATACCTTTTAGTTTAATATATTTTGCCAACTGCATGCACTCTTTCCCTTATTTTTTAAATTTTGAGTGCATTCAATATACTATTTTTTGTCTTACTACCCTTTCCTACGCTAGACAATTAACAATATTTCTACCTTCATAGGAAACTCTCTGAGAAAAAAGCTCTTATTTATATTTTATATATAATGAAATAACTAAACACTAACGCTTTTAGGATTAGTCTTTTACTATGGAAAACTTACGAAATATTATTAAATTCATAAATAGATCACATAATATTAATTCAAAATTTTATGAATGATATTTTAGTAATGTATAATAGTCAGCATTCACTATCTTAATACATGTATCATCAGTTATTTACATTAACCAATGTAATATCATCATTCGATACATGCATATATTTTTGTTTACTTTTTTTATTTT